TTTTTATTGCTGTTTTTCGCTTCATCTGAGTATTTTTACAGGTGAAGTTACCCCAAAAGTTTATCCATTGTGCTTTGCCTTCTGTGTTTGATTGTTTTGCTATTGAATATTAATTAATTAATTTTTTTTTTGGTTGTAAGATTTAAATTAACTTCCTCATTTGGACAACTCACTTACTTGAAAATTTCGTGAATAAGTTACTTAGATAATTGGTAAGGTTTGTTTTATTCAACTTTTAACCCTATAATCACTTGATTTTGTTATTCTAAATCTCTTTTATTTTTTTTATTTTCGCTAGAGCCTGTGATATTAAAATGTTAATCATGCAATATAAGATATAAAGATTTTATCAGTTCTAGTAATTTGATTCCTTCTTAAACAGTACCTGGGGCATAACCATTAAGTACAATGTAGTTAGCTTTGAAGTTGGTGTTGCACCTGTCGCACGGTTGGTTTGCCAGCCTATTTATCATGAAATTCGTCCAGCTTCGTGTCTTCGTAAGTTCCAAGGTTCTCATTGTCGGGAAGGGTGTTTATTTGGTTTATTGAGTTGGGGATGGGTGTTTTTAAAAGTTGCTTAGTAGGAATGAAGATTAAAGCGATGACAGAATGTCAGACACCACTTCTGAATGGTTTGGGGTTTAACAATGGATCTATTGGTTTTGGGCGGTTAGACTCAAGTTTCTTATTTAGAGCTGCCGAATGGTGTATTAATAATTCCTGTAAAAGAGGTTTCAAAAGTTTTCGGATAATACAATCACGATGAGCAGAAGTTCAGAGGATCTCGAAGCAGTAAAATTAACATCTGGAAGGGAGTTATTTTACATCAGTGAGTCCGCAGTGGAACGAAATTTGAAGAAACGGGGCTATAAAAATAGTGATGAGTTGAAAAATATTGCCCACTCGGACCTTGAACAAGGGATATATGAAGGTACGGCTACTAACCTTTTTTATTGACGCATACTTCATTGAAAAACTGCTTGGTCTTTAACTGTTTTAAGGGTTAGGTCTTTACAACTTTCAGGAGGTTTGAAGGTGTGGGAAGGTGCTATTGACCTCTGTGATTTTATTGATTCGTCTCCTGATGAAGTCATTTGTATTGATAAAAGCGTTCTGGAGGTAATTTTTTCAGCGTATTTCAGGCCTTTAGTGCTTTTCGCCAAGTTGGGTAAGGGTTACTATTCTGCCAGTGTACTTCTTTTTTAATTCAAAAGAAATTTCAACTTTTTAAGATAGGCTGCGGTGCGGCACTTCCAGCTATCTTAGCACTTCAGAAAGGGGCGAAGTCTGCAGTGGTACAGGACTTTGTAAGCTTTCTAACGACTTTCACGATTGAAATCTGTTTAGGGTAATCTGTAAAATAAGTGGCCAACAACAACGTTTTTGTTGATCCAAAGTAAAAAACTAGCGTTTTGTCATTTTAAAGCAGTGATTGCCGCTTAATTTGTCCTGTAAGCTTTTATTTTCTTTTCTCAATTCTTCCTTTCCAGATAAATTTTCCATGGTTGAACTCTAAAAAGTTGTTTGTAGAACAAGTCAGTGATTGAATGTTTTACGAAGGACAATTTTGTACCGAATAATGTTAAAGTTGAAAAATGTGATTTCTATGCGGGTGATTGGTCCGACTTTCAAAAACACCTAGAAGGTCGCAGGTACAAAATATTTGATTTTTTTCTGCTTCGTTGACAAGCTGTAGTTTTATGACGAGAAGGCTTTTATTCTTTTGAGAGTTTAGGTTTGATATTATTCTATCGTCCGAAACGATTTATAACGAGCAGTTGTACGAACGTTTCCATGATCTACTTGATGCAGCTTTAGAGCCTAATGGCCTAGTGTATGTCACGGCTCATAAATTTTCTGATAGGGTTACAATTTTCTGTTTACAAGTTTGTTGGGATCATTTCGTTGTTACCACTAGATATGAAGATTACTAGATGTCGACGCTCTGATTAACTTTAATTTCCAGATTAATCGCCGCAAAGTTATACTATTTTGGCGTTGGTGGTAATGTGCCTTCGTTTATTGAATTTGTGAAAAGCAAAGGTAAATTTAATTCACTGATTTTATGGACTAGCGACAGCACAGTTCCGCGCAAAGTGATTCAGCTTACTCGAAGGGATCCTGCAGACTGTGTTTTTGCCGCTTCTCTTGATCAGTAGTTGTCGATATGTCCCGCCATAAATAATTAGGTGTCATTTGTAAAAAATAGATTTTTTATTAAGTCATCAAGTCAAGAATATCAGTTATTTTCGATAAATTTATGAGACTACTCCGGAATTCCTGATATAATCTAGTCCTTCTGTTGCCCATTTCAGCAGATTCGAATGTTTTTTTTTCCGTTAGAACCAGAACCAGTATGTAAATTAAGTAGGGTCTGTGTTCATTATGCATGAAAAGAAACTAGAAGAGAAAACTTGAAGTTATTTGCAACGTTGTGGTGTTTAGGTTATGTCACTAGCTAGGATCAGTGACTTTTGTGGATATTAAAGACAATATTAGTTTTGCTAACAATTCCTTTTTTAAAAATGAAATCTTTTTTTTTAAGACTTATATTACTTATATTATAAAGTTGATTTGATTTTGTGATTGTACTCTGGTTGGCATACAGCGATTTGTAGTGTTAAGTAGTCTAGTTGTCAAAATTTGCTATCTCTTTTGCTCACTAACAATCTTTTTCCTTGACGTATTAATGAGTAAAAAGTTCCATCACTGTTTTATTATACCAATGTTATTGTTGTTGAATCTCATGTAACATTTTTGCAAATGTAAATAAACATTATTAAAGTATTTTATGGCTCTCGACTGCAATGAAATTCAGATTTCTACTAAAATAGGCAGGGGGAAGATGATGGTTTTGAGTATATTCTAGTAACAGGGTTTTGTTTTTCTGGGACTGTTGTTTGTCTTTGCCCATTTACTCCTTACGTTACGCATATTAATTTTGAAACAGCTGTGTAATATTGCCGAACTGTTCGTAAGTTTTGTGGGCAAAACGGTGGTAGAAAGACACCAAACAATGTTTGCCAATCGCATTTATCAGGGTGTTGTAGAAAGCTGCTTTTGGATACTGTTATACAGAAATCCTAGCGTGGGCAATTCATTTAGCATCCTAAATCGGCACCGACCGTACGAGATTCTAATTTGATGGTATTTTGAATGGAAAAAAGAAATTATTCTGTTTATGTTAGTGCAGATTTTTAGTTGTGTGTATAACCTGCATAGCTGTTTGTTGAATATTTTCTAGCTCTTACTGCTATTATTTTTCTTATCACTATCATTGATAGAAAATATTAGTTTATATATGAAAGGAAAACAATACTTTATTATTTATATTGTTATTGTTGTTGTTATTGTTATTGTTGTTGTTATTATTATTGTTATTGTTATTAGATTCTTAGTATTACGATTATTATTATTATTACTATTATTAGTATTTATTATTATTATTATTATTATTATTATTATTATTCTTAGTGGTTTTATTTTTATTTTTATCACTATCATTATGACGTTATTATCATTATTTTTATTGTTATTATTAATGTTGCTGTTATCATTACTGTCATTTCATTCCTTTTATTAGTCCTTGGTTAAAACCTAACTCTATTTATCTTTCTTGTCTAAGATTTATTTCCAACGGGTTTCTCTTGACAATTTTGTTTCGTTTTGCTTTTTTTTTCTTTGCTTTGCATTTTTTACATACTGAAGAGTGATTCTTCTAAAGAATAAATTTCCAATTTTTTTTTGTTTCAACTAAAGCGGTTGATGGGGAATGCATTAGAAGAGAAAGAAGAGAGAAGTAAAAAGTAAACAAAAAGACGAGAAATTTAATAATTTCACTTGAAGAGAGCAGATGGTTGGCGTGGGTAGTGCAGTTTTTCTGCTAACAATATGGTTACAAATTCGGTACATTTATATGGAAACTATTGAATTGGACAAAGAACATTGGACATTTCAATCAAAAAATGGTTCTGTTCGTGGCATCGCAAGAGTCCCCGGTAATATCTACACAGATCTCTTCAACAATAAAATTATTGATGATCCACTGTATGGCAGTAATGACCAAAGTTTAAAATGGGTTGCTGTAACAGATTGGATATATCAATGCAACTTTATAATTCCGCATCGTTGGACTAAGGTAAGGCACCTCCTTTTTCAGTTTTGTTTAATTTTCAATATTTTTATTTCTTATTAATAATTTGGTCTATTTTCTTTATTTCCTCCTTTTAACACTGATTTTTTGTTTTATTTCACATGGCTTTATTTTGCATTGAAAAATTTTGTATCAGATATTCAAAAAACACCAAT